TTGTTGATGTGTGGAGATGAGATTGATCTGCAAGCCTATGGTAAAGCATTCACATAATGATTCTTTTTGAGTGTAAACACTTCACCCCAAACACTTTGAGTGATATTTCATAATATTCCCTGTAAGTTTCGGAGTTGATGTTGAGATGGCTTGTTTAATCATATTGCATGTATATGGTTTCGACTATTTTAGCAATCTCCTGGTTGTATTACGTTTCTGTGGCCATTACATTGATTATTTTGTTTTATTTCTTATCTTTTTGGTATTTTTATTTCTTATCTTTTTGGTATTTTATTTCTTATCTTTTTGGGTGTTTTAGTTGCTTTGCAATTGGAGTCAATTGGGTTTCTTTCTTATTTATAGTCGTCGTTTTTTTTTCATTGCATGTTGATCACAAAACCATTTTTTTTTCATGGCATCCTCACGCAAGTCTGCATGTCCTCCTGTTCTGAAAGGCAAGACTCCTGCTATTACTCCTTCCTTCTCTCCTCCCCGTACACGTTCTGCGAAACGTAAATTGTTTTCTTCCCCATCTGATTGTTCAGCTTCGCCTGATATTAATTTTTCCCAAGCGGTCTTCCAGCAAATGCTTGATCTGAACAAAAAATTTTCTTTGCTCGAACGTTTCATTAAGTCCTCCACAAATGATCTCAGTCATCGTATTTCTAATTTGGAGCAATGTTTTCATCGCCTTCCCAACCACTTGTTTGCTCCTCTCATTCATCTTTCTTCCTCTGATGATGAGGATGACTTCCACCCTGATTGTGTTCCATCGTCTCCTCGTCCTCCTTGCCCACCTATTCCGGACCACTCACCGCTGCCTACTCTTACTCCAGAAGATGATCCAGAAGAGGATCCCGAAGACGATCAGGACTATGATCTCTACTGGGTTTCGGCTGACGATGGTGTTGCCAAGCATGATTGAGTATTGGCTTTGGCGTTTCCCTGTGACAAAAAGGGGGAGAGACTAGAGTTAGGGGGAGAGATTTTAGCTAGAAGAGTTCTTTTTGTTTTTAGCTAGGAGAGTATTTTCGTTTGTGAGTTTTTTGGTTAGACGAGCTTGTTTGATGTTACATGATGTCTGGATGATTATTTCTTAATAAAGTTTTTTTAATTGCTGCACGATGAAAGATGTTGATATGCTTGAATCATCTTTAAGTCTTAAGTTTCTTGCAACATCTATTTTTTGTACGTCACGGGTGTTTTGTTTAATGTGTGCAGATTACAGACTTCAGTACATTAGTTTAAGGTTTCTACAATGTTGTTAATTGAGGGTTTTGTCAAGGAAATGCCAAAGGGGGAGATTGTTAGGGTAAAATTGGCAATCCCTGACATAATGACTGAGTCTGTAATAGTTTAGACTTGTTATACATTTTCAATTGTAATAGTTTAAGTCTAGGAAGGGTTCTCACACTTTCGATGCAAAGATGTTACCTACACGCGATAAATATTCAGGTACGTTTGCATGCATACATCCAACTACATTCATCTATATCTCATGTTATTGTTTTTGATATAGGACTCTTAACCATTGTGTGATTTATCTCTTTAAAATATCTTATTCCTTTATATTCGAGATTTTAAAGCATGCAAAATAGTCTAATTGCATTGGGACTTATCTGTTGGATGTTGATAAGAGCCATCTGGTTATATGGCTTGGATTCTTATCGGTTTGAGTCGGTTAGGCATTAAGCTCATATAAGAGTTGTCAAACCCTTGGAAAAAGGGGGCGGCATATATGCATGTTTTTATTAAAAGATTCAAGGGCAGCAGCTTTGTGTTTTGAAAAGCATATAACATTATTTTTTTAAGTGGCTGCCAGATAGTGGTTTTGATTAGAATGTGTTTTTAAAGGAAGCCGCATATGCATGTTTTTGTGGGGAACAAGATTGGCAGCAACTTTGGTTTTTAAAAGAGAAAACATTACCTTCAGTGCATGAATCTAAAATTAACTTTTCAGTGGCTGCCATCTTGTGGTTTGAATAACATGTGTTTTTAACGGGAAAATATTATTTTTCATGCTGATTTTCATTTGGTTTTTGTTGAATATCAATTATGAAAATGTGCCTTGTGATTTTCGTAATTGATTGATTTTTCAACCACACACTTCATCATATAAACATTCTGCATGATCGAGTTAGCATCATGCAAAGTTTGAGGGAAAGGTGATTGACGGTTGCGTTAGTACCGTGCCACTTCAACTCGAGGACTGAAGAAAGATCGAGTAGCAAAGCGCGAAGACAAAGCTGCCAACTGGTATGAGTGTCTAGTTGATGAGGTTTGTAAGTCTTTATGTATTCTTTCTTTCTTAGTGCTTCCTGGCTTGGTAGCCCGAGGATTTTCCCAGTGGTGGGTTTTGCCTCGTTAAATCCTACATCATGTGTGTGCTTTTTATATTCATGTTGAATATTTGTGTAGGATTAATTTTGCATAACTGATTAATTGAAACCATAATTTGCTTTAGCGTTAAGTTGTCATTTATAGATTAAGTTAGTACCCATCCTAGGACTTTCAAGAAGACGAGGAAAGTTGGTGGCGGCGGGATGAGGGAGATGGGATTCTGGGAATAGGGGGAGGGAGATAGGATTATGGGGTTAGGCAACGGGGGTGAAGTGGAGGACTGATGAGTTTTTTTTATTTTTTATTTTTTATATTTAAAATAATTTATTAATTGTTAAATAAAAATTTCTCAATTGTTAAATAAAAATTTCTTAATTAATTAATTTTTTATTTCAATTGGCAAAAAAGTGAACCTGCTCTTGCTACGTTATCATTTAACATCTAATTTAACAAAAAATTTAATGGAAGTCTAATATTGAAACGAATTTGTAAATTGAGGTATTACATTGTAATTTTTAAAATATAAATTATGAGATTGTAGTTTAACCTATTTAAGTTTCTCGTAGAAACGAGGCAAAGTACAATATACCCTAATCTGTAACAATAGAATTGGCTTCCGTATTGGAGATATTTTCGACCAACGAAAAATATAAAATGTCTGACATTTTGCATCTTTCATTACAAACTTTCCATCATTTAAAGAAATGAAAAATAATGAAAATGATTTAAAAAATTTTAGTTTTAATAAAAAAAATCACGTTATAAGTTTTGTTTAATGATTAGTACTAAAGTAGTCCAACTAAAAATGACCCAACTATAATAAATTATGATTTGTTGATTTTACCCATAACTTTTTTAGGTTGAGGAAGTTCATCATTGTTTTGCAGACCTTCTTCTTTTTCTTTGAAACAAAAATATAGATCCTCATGCTATTTAATTTATATTTTGTATTATTTCGTTGAAATGTGATCGTCGTTATTATTCATAGTGTATTTGAGGTACTGTTTTTCAATTTTTCATCGTCAGTGGGGTTCATCGTTTGTTTCTCTAGAAAATAAATTTGAGATCTGCATGCTATTCAATAATAACGACGGGTCACTGTTTTTGGACTGTAAAAATAAAATGTTTTTGGATTTTAAGTAACACTGTTTCTAAAATTTAATTCACTGTTTTTGGATCCAAATGAAATAGACACACTGTTTCTTAAATGTAAGCTAGAAAAGAAATAGTGAAATTCACTGTATTTGGATTCAAAGAAAAATAAGCATCATGTTTCTTAAATATAATCAACTGATGCATGAAAGAAAAAAAAAGTCAAAGGTTAAAACATAGATTGTTTTTGAAACTAAGTCATTGTTTTTGGATTTTGGTTCTTTTCTTTCCAAATATAGTGTTTGTTTGTGCACATCTGTATCTGATTTTTTTTTTTTTTTCCAGAAACAGTGTTATGGTTTGGGTTATCTAGAAACAGTTTTATGTTTTGATTTTTTTTTTTTTCCAGACACTTTTTTGTTGGTTTCTGCCATTTAACTTCTTTGAACTTGTTTTGGCGGTTTTATTCCGATGAATGCTTCATTTTTGAACTTTGATTTGAACTTTGATTCGGTTGTTTTTGAAATGGGGGAATTCGATTTGATAGGAAGATAGGGAGTTATTATAGGGGGTTTCGTGCTAGGTTAAGGTTGGTGAAGAGTCAAGACAATATCAAATCATTTAGGGGTATTTACGGAACTGTAGATTTGTAGTGGGTTGGGCTTGTAAGTTTGACCCGTGGACAATAATTTTGGATGGTTTTTTTATTAAACTTTGAGTCATTTTGGTTAAATAACATTTTGGGATGGTTTTTGGTTAAATATTTGTTGTCCCAAGCCCTTTTCATTAAAGCTCCCTTGCATATTACATTTTAATCTTCAAGTACAAGATTTCGGTTAATATTCTAAGACCATCTCTAGAGGAGATGTTAAAAATGTCACATAGACATATAACAGTAATAAATGATATACCATTTTCTCCAAACCGAGATGTCAAAGTTGACATGAAAAAAAGGCTAAGTTGACATGGACATAGGGATGTCAAATATGAAGCTGCCTTCAAATATGATTTTTGCTATTTCCAAAGGCATTCCATTTGCCTTATCTTAAATGCTAGCATATTTAAGTATTATTTTTAAACCAATAACAATCCAATTTTTATTATTTTTGTTTAAAAATAAATAAACGAAGCAATCAATTTTGACATATCGGGTGAAACGAAAATATTGACAATATGTCAAATTACCAGGTCAACCATCGAATTGAAATTTGATGTTTTGAATTTAACATCTCATTCGGAGATACTCTAAGGGATGTTTTGACAAAGTAATGTAAAAGCAAGTCCTTTTAAGAGATGTTTTGACATAGTAATGTGAAAACAAGTCCTTTTAAGGGATTTTTTGACAAAGGAATGTGAAAACAAGTCCTTTTATTTAGTCACGTGTTTTCAGTCCCAAAAAAGCTATGTTAAAACACCCGAAAAAGCTATGTTCTTTTGACTTTGGTTTCAAATGAAGCAATGCAGGGTGGACTTAGAGAAATGACTTCCACACTCATCTTTCTCCTAGTCACCCTCCGTTTATTCTATCCAAAAGTTAGAAATAATCACAAGTGTGTAGCAGGTGAAAATGGATGCACAAAAATCACATCCCACTCAAGGAACTAGATCGAGTCTTCCTTTTGGATAATGATACATGGTGTTAGAGGGTCTCAATACTAATGTGTACACTGAATAATAACATTAACTAGATATTACAGGTTGCTACCATTCACTGTTGGTACACTACAAGTGCATCTATTAGGGTCGATTCTAAGTTAATTTCAACCGTCCAGCAATGCGTTGAATGGCCTCTGTGATAGGGTTTAGGGTCCATTCACTGTTAATTGCCAATGACATTTTGTGTCACCCAGCGGAATGTAGGTCAACTGGTTCAACAAATCGTGACTTTCTTCTCCGCTTTGCTTCAGGAGTGCACCGTTTGCCACCAACATTTCCAACTTTCACAGGTAACTTGCCGTTTATTTGAGGAGATGTCTCTGTTGATTTATGTGCCTTAGAAGATGACTTGACTGAAGGAGATTTCTCAGTCCCTGTGTTGCTGTTGTCAACATTTTGAGATGCTTTCCTCAAGGGAGACTTAACTCTCTTTCTGGACAACCGAAATCCAGTTTGCTCTCTTCTCTTGTCATGCCTAAGGAGCCGAACATGGAAGGGATTTGCGGCTGCGTAACAAACAGACTCACCATCAACCCCACTCCTATTCAACTCAACGTCTCCATTGTTAACCTGAAAATTATAATATTACATCACAACTCAATTGTTAAATCAACACCCAGAAAGCTACAAATAAAATCTGAGCTAATACAGATTGGGTTTTAGCAACACCAACTAAATCAAAGAAAACATGTGCTTATATGTACAAAAGAAATACCAGTTGCAGGAGCGCAGAAAAACTCCGAGCGACATCATACTTTTCCTGACCCTTTACAACATCAGCAAACGACAAGACATTCTCATTGTCTGGTTCGAAGGATAGTCTATCAAGAATTCTTTCTCCGTAGTCATGAATATCAAAAGCAGGGTGTGATTCCTAAGAAAAACATAGCACACTCCTTTACTGAATCAGTAGAGGAAAAACAAGAAGAAAACATGTAACACAGCTAGAGGCTATTCTGATTTACTTTTCTGTAAGGAAAGTGTTGACACACAGAAAGGAAGCACAAGTGATGGAACCTACTTGCTCTTCCAGGTTGTACTCAATTTTCTGTTTCCATGTTGAAACACGAGCAGCTAGTTCAGTCTGTTTCTCGGTTTCAGCTATGCTAGCAAGGAGAGTGTCCTATGAGGAGGAACATAGGTAGCCATCCAAAAAGTTGCAGTTAATTACCAAAGTATAACATAAGGAAAAAGACTATAATTTTGCCCAAAGGTAAAAGAAAAAAGAGGCAAAAGAAAAATAAATCAGACAAGACATATAATTGCCAGCAAAAAAATATGAAGCGGGCTCTTTCTTCCAAGATCTAGTCACCTGAAATGCCTTAAAAACTATTTCCGTGACTTCTACAAGATACTTTTCAGAGTACACAAACAAAACCATCCTAATGAGAATGTGCATCCTTCTTGACACGCTGAAATAAAAAATCCATCCTAATAAGCCTATAAAGTAAGACTGCCTTTTCAAAAAACACTTTGCTTCAGACTCTTGGCCTCAATTACAAAGTACTCTTTGTAGAGTAAAGTATCGAATGATGCTGCAGATCAAACTATCAAGTTTCTGTTGCAAACTAAAATAATCCATTGACTAAACATGCCCCACCTCAGATAGAGTTTCTGAAATCCAGTTAACAGGATAATATATTGCAGCTCAACAATTCACTACTGCCAAAACCTAGAAACAAAGTTAGAAATGTATACTTACCAAGTGAGAGCGACACAAATCTTCCAGGCTTGCATGAGGATTTGGATCATCGTCAAATGGTTCAACATTACCAAATTGAGGACCACTGTCCTCATTCTGTATAATATCAATAGATTAGCAATCTAAAACATTCCCAGTTCATTTTAATTCATGCAATAATCAATTCTCTGTGCAGTCTAACCATATCACTGTGCCGAGGTACGCCATCCATGAATTCTAGCAAGTCAGCATCTGGTTGCCCAAAATCAGGGATCTCATTATCATATTCAGTATCCTCATTTCCATCCAGAGGATTGCAAAAGGCATCAAAGGATTCTTCTCTTCCATTAACAAGGGATTCCCGTAGCTGCAAATGAGAAAGCAAGTTCACCAACCAACCAAAAAACAAACATCTACACAAATTTCTGTAAAACAAACCTTTTCAAATAATGGAGGAGATTGGGACCCCTTTTGTCTCTCCTCGGCATGATGTCGAATCTGCCACATTTCTATGAGCTCTGGACTAATAGTACCATGCAATTTTGCAGGTGGAAACAGTGTAATAATAGAGACATGCTTAGTAGAATTGAATCCTTTCCTTTTAGAAACTTTGACTGCTTGCGGAAAACATAATGAAAGAGAAGCATGGTGTTAGGTACATAATAATTTATAAGTGCAATTTCAAAAAACTAACATTTGAAAACAACCTTTCCTAAATGGTTTCACTTTCAAGTTCCCGGGTTCATGGGGATTCAGTGGCTTCCATGGATCATCACCATCATCATCTGAATCATCCAAGTCCCTGGGCTCTGAATATCTATCATCCATATCAAATCCCTGAGTACCATCATCAAAATCATTGCAGGCAGGAGGATCAGGTTCAATATTACAATTATTTGCCTCAAAACTGCAACCGATGATAGGAGATTGATTAATATTAGGATCCCGCCCCTTATGAAGAGATGACCTATGTGCAGTTCCACCTGATCGTCTGGGAGTCTGATGACTTTTTCGTGCTGAGGTGACCCTATAAGCACTATTTTGTCCTTTAACAACTCCATCCACACTCAAATAATCATTTACTGCTACAGCATCACATGGATCTAATAAAATGAAATCCTGATATAGATCGTTGGTGGCCAGCTGCAGATATAATTTTTGTGACCAAACAACTTTAGATACATATGTTGAGTAAACGATCCAAAAAATTAACAGATGGAAGAAACTATGGTACCAGATATCCCTCTAATTCTCCGAAATCACCAGTAGTATCTAGGCAATCACCTTCAAGCACAACTAGGTTTGCTGGGGGCTTCACAAAGGGATTCAGAGGAGCATCTCTTCCCGATGGACTATCTAAGCAATTCTTTGCTTCCACTGCAAGGAAAATTGATTTCAGTGGATGAAGATTGCACAATTATATCTCCATAGTCCATGAAGAGTTAGAAAGTAATGGGTACCTGCAATGTCATCTAAGCTCCAAAAAATATCATTTTCTTCATCGGAAACAGCATGGGAACTCCCACCTTCTTCAGGCCGAACAGATGTTCCTTCGGATTGTTCATACTGCCTATATAAAAGATACAGTAAAATAAGAAAACTAACGAGAGAGAGAGAGAGAGAGAGAGAGAGAGAGAGAGAGAGAGAGAGAGAGAGAGAGAGAGAGAGAAGCAATTCAAAGCACAGTTTCGTGCAACACAAAGCTTGTGCCCAAAAGTGATGATAGGATCATGATCACTATCTTTTCCTAGGAGCAGAAATTTTAGACACATCAGAAACTCTACACGCTACTGACTTACCTTGATTATTCCAAGACATAACACAACGTGATCATTATATGGATCTCTTCAATTCTTTTTTCTTATCCAGTATCTCTTGTTACATTTATTATCTTTATTTAGATTTATAGTTTTGTAATGCTTCTTCCCATGTTAATTCAGCCTCTTGTTCACGTTTACCTTCTACTTCTAAGTATCTTCTTGGGTTATAGGTGAAATATGAAGCACCGATTTCCAGTTCACGCTCCAGGTCAGGAAAGTAGCTGCAAACTTTTTATTCACCTATGAAAAGCCCATTATTATGCTCATACCGCCTAAACCTACTTTCTCTAATCTTATCACAGGTAGGTGTGACTCCCAATGCTTCTCTAGTAACTGCATTATTTAGAAAGTAGATGAGATACGATAATCAACCATTTTGAACACATTAGCCCAGTTAAAGTATAGACTGCAGAACCTTGGGACAATTAATTTTCTAAACACTCAAAAGCCAGTTAGAAACCTAATCACACACACAAATGCACATATCTGGGTGCATATCGACAAAGAACAAATCTTTACTGAAATAATATCATAAAATTTAGAAAAAATACCAACACCACGAAGCAAAATATTCAAATTATATAAATTTACAATAAAATCGAAAAAAAGAATTAAAATGTAGGGGAAAGAAACACCAACCCCTTTTGGGAAAGGAACTCCAAAGCACGCAAAACCAACGAGTACAGATACTCCACCTTCCGGCTATACACTTGGACCGAACCTTGAAGAAGCAGCGCAGCTACACCCAACAAAAATCATCACAAACAATTCCGAAAGTAAAAAAATTTAAAAGAAAAATAGTAGTCTGGAGTAAAAGGAACACCTTCTGCGAAATTAATAGCGACATGGCCTTCTGCTTCAGTGGGTATTTCACCGGAGCAAATCTTGAGCAAATACTCTTCGAGTTTTTGTGCGAGATCGAGTTCCCAATTGGATTCCAGGTCACGCTCTGCTTGCACCCTATGAAATCCGCCTCCACCGCCGCCGCCGTTGCTTCCACCCGGCTCGTCTTTGGCGCTAGTCATCTCCTGTGAGAAGAACTGGGCATTGGCGCATTGTGGAGGTACTGGATTCACATTTCGTGGATACTAGGGTTTTCCAAGTTGGGGGTTTCGGAAAGCGATAAATTTTTTGAGTCGAAATTGGAAAACAGTGTGACAGACGGAAAGTCAAAGATTTCCTCTGAGACTGCAATTCGTGAGCTTGGTTTCGGCAGGAAGATGGATAGAGCGAGCAGAGAGAGAGAGAGAGAGAGTGTGTCTGCGCGTGTGAGAGTTTCAAAAAGTTTCGATGGCCGTTTCCCGCTCCTTTGTAATTGTACCCCTTTTGTATTTTCATTTTTGCATATCTGATTCGAGTATTCGCCCTTTTATGTTTTGAACTTGTAATCGGTTGTTAATTAACTCTATAAAATTTTGTTTTAGTCAATTGTCACCCTAAACTTTTGTTAAGAGCCAATCACCACCTGTCGCTAGATCCCCAAGTTTTCATTCGTTTTTCTATTAAAATTTTATCACGTACCACACACATGCTCTACAAATTACGATAAAACGGTCAAATCTTTACCCATCACTTTTTGTCATCTCCGTCTGTGGGAGGAGAGAATTTAACACAAGAGAAACTAGAATAGCTCTTTTGTACCCACTCTTTGTGTGAGTGCTGTTAAATCCACCCATCGTCCTATTTTCCATTCACATTTTAATAAAAATATTATTGACATATTTATTCTTTTTCTAAAAGACTTTTAAACCCTACCCTGTTCCCTCCTCCCACTGTCTCTCTCTTCGTCTTCCGTGCTTCTTTCTTCCATTTCATCTCTCTTTTCGGCTTCTCCACCGACCGGACCAGAAGAACATGGTGAACCGCTTTTTCAATTTTGTGGCCTAGGAGTGGGATGGGTTCGGGAAGACGGGTCTTGTTCTTCATCTAACTCTACTCCATCGATCAAGACTGATTCCAGACTTCAGCAGGTGGAGGAGGATTCGGTGTGCCAAAGGGAATTAGTGCGCTAGTACTTCATTGTCGTATCCCATAACTTGTCAGCTTTTGGCATTACTATTCCCACGTCGTCGTCCGAGCTTGTGGTGCCATTCTAGGAGGCCCCCTAACACTCGTCCTAGGAGTCCCCCAACACCCATCCTAGGAGTCGCCCCAGCAATCACCAGACCCCTCAGCATAGTAGTATACAATTTTTTTCTCACTATAATTGGACGAACAATTTTTCTAGGTTGTAAATATTATTTTTTATTTTTACAATATTTACTTTTTAAAATGTTCAAATTTAATAGTTTTATTTTTCTATTTGTTGTAATTATTATTGTTGTAACAACCCGTCCTTAATTTACGATTTTATTAATTTTAAATGTGTGAATTGACCAAAATGCCCTAAAGGCAAAAACATTGACTTTCATTGACCCTTAATTCGTGACATGTATAAATTATTATTTTTGCCGTATTCTCGAAGTACTCAACGATACGAACACGTAAGCACAAACGGAATTGAAATCGAAGGTTTTACTAAACTACGAATCCGAAAAATACTTTTGTAAAAATTATTATTTTATATTTTATATATTTCTCATAATTATATTATTATTATTATTATTATGATTACTACTACTTTTATATTAATTTTTGGTGGGATATTTTAAATTATTTCAATAATTTTCTGTCTATAGGGCCCACACCCACACCAAACTTACCTCTCTGTCTCTTACACGTGGCATTTTTGTTCCACACACTTTGGGAACTATTTCTCGTCCTTTCCAGCTCTCTCTCACTCACTCTAACACTCTGTCACTTTAACTCTCCCCTTCTCTACTTCACCACGCTGAAGCATCACCACCAGCACCACCATTTCGCCATTTTTCACTGTGAACAACTCAGGCCACCCCAATTTAGGAAAACCTTGACACAAACCCAAGCTCGAACCTAGGCCAAGCTTATCTTTCCCTCTATGCCATTGTTCACAATTTTCCCGAAATATTCCGGCGAGTTCTCGCCATCTCCGACAAAGGTAACATTAAAAAACTCTTCTAATCTTTGTAAATCATGTTGAGGAGTACAATTAGCATGTTTTTGAAACGTTTTGGCATTGTTTGAATGTAGAAACACCGAGGGGAAAAGTTCCCTAGTTTTCAGGCAGACATCTAATGGCTTTCGAGCCATTTGCCACGACCGAGGAACCCAATGGTATATTTCGATTCCTTGTTTCTTGGGCTTCAATTTGATATATTGGATTGCTAGTTTTAGTTGAGATTTGGGGTTAAACGTAGTTCTAAACTTGGTTTGCGGTTTTCGGTATGTATTATCTATGTAAATGTTGATGCGTGCAAACTATGCATTGGATTTTTTGGTTGTTAGAATTGCATGTTAGGAAAAAGAGTTTTGATTTTTCTAGCATGTGATTTATGTTATTTTATATTGTATTGACGATCCGAGAATTAGGGGGGATGCGTGACTACCTTGGGCTTTAGTCCCCTAAACCTTTGGAGAGTCCTATACAAACGGACTCGTACCATTAACCGTAAGGGGAGGGTACTTGTGTATATGTGGTATAGGTTGTAAGTGGACACTCTCATTACCCTATCTTTTGTTGGTATTATTTGAGAATATTTTTTTAGGTATGGGTGGTTGGCTGCGTGTTTGGTTGTCAGGACAAAAAGAATTAGGGATCCCGCTATAGTTAACTTGTATGAGCATGAAATAAATTTTAACTCAAGCCAAAGGTTTTTGTTGTGCAAATTGTTTCCTTTATACGTAGTACAAAGGTATATCTAGTTTCAAACCTAGCTAGGGTGCCTTTCGAGGGGGTGCAATTGATTGAATATGATGCTCACCCCTACAGTTTCAGGTGTTATGCGATATTTAATGGAAGAGTTGGACTAAGGTGTGCGGTTGTCGCTTGTCAACCTTAAAGCTTTCAAGTCAGAAAATCATATTTTGAAATGTAAATATTGATTTTCTAGTTTTAGTAAAAAATGTCTATGTGTAGCCTCTTTTGCTTATGTATATATTTATCTAAAACTTATTACTCCCTTGGCTTTTGTAAACTAAACTTTGAGGATTTCTTTTGTAAAAAGGTTGCTTATGAAATGGTTTGAATGTTATGGCTTTTGCTTGAACTTTGATATTTATTTTGTTAATAGTATTAGAGGCTTTGCGTATCTTAAAGATACAAGAGAATTGTCGTGTTCTGAGGCAGAGTATGCAACTCTCATGCGTTTTTAAGATTAGCGGCACTGTCACGATACATTTTTGGATCGTGACAGTTTCGAATCGGAATGAGATAATAGTTAATGATACATTTACATACATAATAGCTACTAGTATTATGTTGAGCAAAGACATTGAACTGTGTTCCGTTGATAAATGATGACGTAGAATAGATTGGTCAAACTAGAAAGAAGCAATCGGGGGTTGAACTAGATTCACTTGCAAAACACAAGGTGTTTGAGCCCGTAGTTCCTATACCTTCACATGTGAAACCCATTGGCTATAATTGGGTTTTCGTAAGGATGCATAATGAGAAGAATGAGATAGTGAGATATAAGGCACGCTTCATGGCGCAAGGTTTCTCTCAACATTTTTAGATTGATTACAAGGATACGTATTCCCTCATAATGGATGTTATAACGTTCTATTACCTTATTAGTTTAATAGTTTATGAAATACTAAATATGTATCTTATAGACGCAGCAAGCGCGTATCTCTATGGAAAGCTTGATATAGAAATATATATGAAATTTCTTGAATGACTCACATTGACTGGATCAAATAATACTAGAACATGGAACAATCTCTCAATTAGATTGAGGTGTTCACTCAATGGATTGAAACAATTTGAGTAGATGTGGTATAACCGTCTTAGTGAGTATTTGATAGTCATGGATACATAAATAATGAATTATGCCCATGCATGTTTAATAAGTAGTCACATTATAGGGTTGCAATAGTTACAGTTTATGTCCATAATATAAATCTCATTGTGACTTCTGAAGAGCTTGACAAAACAGCTGCACTCCTGAAATCAGAATTTGAGATGAAAGATCTTAAGAAAACTCGATATTGTCTCGGCTTAGAGCTAGAGCATTGTTCAAATGGTATTCTGGTTCATCAATCTAACTACACCCATAAGGTATTGAGACACTTTAATGAGAATAAAGCAAAACCTTTGAGTACTCCTATAGTTATTTGTACACTAGATGCAAAACGAGATCCTTTCCATCCTAAAGATGACAAGGAAGAGGTTTTGGAGCTTGAAGTTCCATACTTGAGTGCAATTGTTGATTTATTGTACTTAACTCAATGTATTAGACCAAACATCTTCTTTGCTGTTAATCTTTTGACAAGATAGCAACGCGTCTACATGTAGATACTGGATTGGTGTTAAAAGACATCTTTCGTTAACTCAAAGGTACTACATATTTGGGCTTGTTCTATCCCTATGTATCCTCGATTGGAGCCACTCCCCTCGGTTCTCGAGTTGATTTTCACCTTGTTGGTTATGTTGATGTAGGTTATCTATCTGACCCGCACAAGGCACGTTCTCAAATGGATCAATCTTTATGGTTGGACTTGGAGGCATTGCAATATCTTGGAGGTTAACTAAGAAAACCTTAGTTGTGGCTTCTTTAAATCATGCTGAAATTATCACCATACATGAATCTACGCGTGAATGTTTCTAGCTGAGAGCCATTATGGAGCATATTTATTTGAAGCATTGGTGGGCTTTCTTTTATTGTTGACGTCTCTACAACTTTATGAAGACAACACCGTCTGTATCGACCATATAAATAAAGGGTACATCAAAGGAGACAACATCAAACATATTCTAACAAAATTCTTCACATTAGGAACAAAGAACATCCAAAGATTAGAGTCGAGCAAATTTTCCTAGGACAACCTTGTTGACCTCTTTAAGAAGTCACTGCCAAAGTCTACTTTTCAGAAGCTTCTTCAATGAATTGGTATGCGTAAATTATTTGATTTGAATTGTTTGCAGTTCTCATTTGCAAGTTTTGTCAAATTCAAAAGGAGTATCCAAAAGTATACTCACTTGATCCTAATATACCCTTTTTCTCTACGATTATGAGCATTTTTCCTTTGGTTTTTTCCTACCTGACGAGTTTTTTTTATCAGGCATCCATCCTGAGCTCGTCATGCCCTTGTGTGCGTTCTACTTCCTGAGGACGTTTTAGTTTTGACTTAATGCAAGTTCTCATTTTTCTTCTTAGACTATTAGTTTTTATCTTACATGTGTTTAACATAGCGAGGTTTTGTGAGTTATAGTCTTTATGCATAAATTCTTCAGTTTGTTTTGAGACTTGCATTCGCTCATTGTTGAGATCTGATGCAATATTTATTTAAGTGTTTACACACTCAATGGAGAGTGTTCTAGTCCTAAATTAGTTATGAGTGTGATTTTATAAATCCTTATGGGATTCCATAGTATCTTTAGATAGTTTTCTAGTTATAATGTATTACTTGAAAGGTAAGGGGTCTCCCTTGTTTACTAATATAAATAAAGGCACAATGAGAAATCATCACTACAAAATGACCAAATTCTCTCTTCTTTCTCTCCTTGCTGCCAGCCACCATCTCTCTTTCTTTTCCCTCAATAAAATAGGCCTACAACATAGTAAGGTATATACGTTATAATTAATTTAATTTTTTATTTGTCTGATTGCAATATGTAACTTAATTTAATACATATAAGAATAGTACATTTTGTTCTTTATTTAGAAGTATAAGCTTAATCTAATGTCTCTATCTACACTCCGGGCATCATGCCAGCGACGTAGGGCACACCGCTAGGCTGAATCCATGTATCACCGAACAAGAACCTCCCTGCGGTGAAGTCCGCGGCGTGCTGAGCGGTAAGCTTCTTGATTCCACGCCATGTCGCCCTTCTAGTCTGGTCGGCACCGAGTCCTCTATTGCCAAACTCACCGAACCAGCAAGATTGGTGATTGTTTGATCCAATCCATTCCATCCACCCTTCTGGAGCAATCACGTCATCGATCTGGGACTGTATGACGATGGTCCTTGCGTAGGTCTTCCATGGTCTGCCCAAGTATGCCTTGTTGAGGTCCTTCTCGTAGCCTAGTTCACCAGAGATGGTGCAGTTTTGGATGGTGATACCCGAGGGAGAACGCCTGTCGAGTCTCCCTTGGGCAGTCACCATGCAGGCCTGGTTCTCGAGTGGCTTCCTGACGATCATCTTGCAGTTTTGGAACACGGCGGCAGCATCACCAAAGATGAAGTCGATGGTTCCACTAATGGTGCAGTCGCGGTAGAATTGCCTGTAGGTTTGGGTGTAGAGGGTGTCTTGGTACCCGTCCATCTTGCAGTTGTAGAAGATGGACAAGTCTGACTGGACACGTAGAGCCACGGCTTGGTGTCCAACGGCTCCGGCTGTGTTCTCAAATCCAATGTCCTTGGCAATGAAGTAGTCTCCCACAACACCTGTAAATATATTGTACATACCAATCATATTTTGAATCTAAACTTACATATATATTGTACATACCAATTATATTGTGAATCTAAACTATTGATATAAGTATAATCATGTTTGATGACCTCGTACACAATATGGTAATATACTAAAATAATATGCGCGTTAGATTGAACGTATTGATTCATAGTTTGATAATATCACATATCAGATCAACTTATGTATGATTAGATAGGAAAAGATTGACTTACCAACTGTGGCAGTCTGCATGGTCTTGGTACCCTCTGCAAAGTTCTTTCTACCGGTGATCACGGTCTTAGTGGGGCCATCTCCGATAAGCATGACATTGGTCATGTGCTTATCAAAAATGACCTGCTCCTCATACACTCCCTCCTTGACATAAATCACAAAGACCTTCACTGCGTTGTTCTTTGGGATATCCTTCAACGCTTCGTTGACAGTTTTGTACTTACCACCCCCGTTCTTGGCCACCACCACATCGGGTTTCAGCGTCTGAGGAGTGGCGGTAGCCAATTCAAGCCTTCGGCTATCAATCCAAGCGGGAATGACCTTAGCCTTTTGGAACTTCTTCACAGCAGTTCCAGCTGCAGCCTCAAGAAGTCTGCGGCCGGATTTAACATTAAGAGCCCCGAACATCGTGGAAACTCCATCGGCCATGGCAAGGGCGTTATTGGTGAGCTCTTGAGATGTCTTCAAGAACTGCCTCATCTTCTCACCGGCGTCACCGGTGGTGTTCTCAAACCCATCTAAGCAAGTCTGCTCGTATGTCATGGCGGCGCTGAGCCACACCTTGAGATCCTCCACGTAAAGATCGAGCTTGCTCATGTCAAAGGCCCCGAGCCTTTCGGACGAGTCACTCAAATCATCGATGGCGTACTCCAGGAGCTCCTTGCAGTTCTGGAGTGCATCGCCCGTGCTCGGGTCCTTGGTCAGCTCCTTCAACGTGACGGACTTCTCGATGACACCGCGGAGCTTGTCCATGGCGACTTGGAACCCTACTTTGATAAGCTCTTTGGGATCGGTGACGTTGCCGGCCGCGCCTGAAAGGCTTTCCTCGCAGGTCTTTTTGTAGTCTGTGGGCTGGCAAATGGCCTGGACCGCCTTTGTGGACGTGGAGGTGTGGCCGTCGGACGACCCTCTGTCGCGGCGTGACACTGTGACCCCAACAGTTACAGCAACTACCATTGCCACCAGAATCAGTGCGGAGGCGCCAATGATGGCGACTTTTTTCTTGTTAGATCCGTCTGCTCCGCCCATGTTTGGAATAATATATATAAATAACTAAAATTCTAACTAATATTTATTTTCTGTAGATTCTGGTGGTGAAAATGAAACCAGTAAGATTTCTTATTCAGGTGAGTTGCTGCAGAGCTGTTGGGGTCACTTATTGGGGGTACTGGATAATACTTACTTTTTGTGCCCCCTGCTTCCCAAAGTGGTGTCATGGAGGTATTTATAAAGGCAGGAGCTCCGAATGACGGTTATTTCTGTTAGAAAATGTGAGGTGGGGAGATCATTGGTCTCGACTCATGACAAAACTAGGGGTCGTTCTTGTTCTTACTTTTTTCTTCCAAATTTGGAGCATACAGATGATTGGCAATGCTTAACTGTTGCTCCTTCAAAAGTGGATTACCAGTGCCTGGCTAGAATTAATGTAGCATTTCAAATTATCTTCCATCAACTACCACTAAATTTTCAACATGCCAAATTATCTGACGATGTGACTTGCTAATTGTTATAGGCATGCCGAAGTATCTGACGACATGCGATGCCAAAATTATCTGCCAACTACCAGTAAAGTTTCACGACTTGACAAATTATCTGACGACATGCGCTGCCTATTTTATTTTATTTTATTGTATAGTTACAAATATGTGAGAATTTTTTTTATATTTTAAATTATGGTAAGAATTCAATGACGGAAGGAATGAAAATAATGAATTTGGATGCAACAACAATGAATTTCTTTTATATTTAAGTATTTTCGTGTAAAGATCACAAACCATTATACTTATGTTTGTGAAAATTAAATTGAATAGAACGTTATATATGGGTTGAGAGTTTGACCATTTAACTCGCTTTACATTGATCATATACCTATTTGTCACTGTTCTACACATTTCGGCTTAGCACTGCATATGTCCTGCCTAGACTAGGAGGATGGTCATCTTCTCGATTAATCTCTAAACGTTTGAAAATTAAGAATTGACGCGTAAACCTGCCTAGACACTTGCCTAACCCGCCTAAACCCGCATAGGTCACAACTCCCATTTACACAGAAAAAATAGATAACTTTTATTTTGCATTTTATTTATAAAAAAAAATTGTAAGAAACTTATTGAATGTTTAGCTGAACACTCAATATATGTTTATTCTCCATGTTTTCAACATGTTCTAAACTTTATAAGCTATATGTCACTGATTTTGCAATTATGTATTCCAATATTGATATATATTTTTGAATATAAATAGACATTTATTTATATGTTATATAATAAAATTTTATTAAAATTAAAAAAAAAAAAAAAAACTGCTAGGGCACTATGTCCCAGCTAGGCTCTACTAGCGCCTAACCCAATTTAGAATCTTGCTATTTGTACAAAACATGGTTATGAATTTCATCAGAAGTGTTCCCTTGTCACCAAATAATTAAGGAAAGTATGGTCACTCACCTTTGGATTTGATATCAAGGGATGGGGAACAAGTGAATGTGCTTTTAGTGTTTTTATCTTAACTTTTACCATCAAATTCAAAGATAAGTCATTATGAATCCTTAATCGTCATTAGGTGACCAAAAGAAAGGAACTTTGGACTTCATATACTGCGTGAACCCAATTATGATGGGCTTCTTGGTACTACTTTTATAAAAGCTTGATAAATCTTAAAACTAAAACAAGAGTAAATTACATTTTACTTCTTCGGGTTTAGATGCAATTGTAACCTCATACACAAACTTATATTTTGTTACAATTTAATACGTCAATTAGTTAAGCCATTAATTTGACCATTAAATGATGATGTGATAAATGCATGACCCACATATTTGATGACGTAGCATATGAAAAATAATTGATTATCATAAAACAATTTATACAAATGATTAAATTAAAACTAAATAAAAGGGGGCCCACCTCTCTTCTTCCACCACCCATCCCAAGGGGGTAAAAAGAAAGGATCTTTGGACTTCATATATTGCGTGAACCCAATTATGATGGGACTTCTTGGTACTGCTTTTATAAGAGCTTGATAAATCTTAAAACTAAAAACAACTGTGACAACGTTTAACCCAAAAAAAAAAAAAAAAAAAAAAAAAAACTTGATGCTTATGAAATATAAAAGGGTTAGCTACATTTTACGGCCTTGAGGTTTGGAATAAAGAATATGTTCATGCACTTTTGGGACAAGATTTTTCGTAATTGACATTTGACTCTTTAGTAGGATTATAAATTAGGATATATGGAATATGTATTTTTAATGTTAGCAATTATAAAGCACAGTTTTTTTAGTGCATATATTATTTAACTTTTGATATTAGCACGATTGTGTATAAGATTAAAAATTGTAGTTTAATGTGTGACATCCCACATAGCCTAGGGGATTGATCCTTATATGTATATTTCATACCTACCTAGCACGAGACCTTTTGGGAGCTCACTGGCTTCGGGTTCCGTAGGAACTCCGAAGTTAAGCGAGTAGAGGGCTAGAACACTCCCAGGATGGGTGACCCACTGGGAAGTTGCTCGTGAGTTCCCAAAAACAAAACCGTGAGGGAATAGTAAGCCCAAAGCGGACAATATAGTGCTACGGTGGTGGAGCGGGCCCGGGAAGTGATCCGCCCCGGGTCGGGATGTGACAAATTGGTATCAGAGCCTATCCCTGGTCGGAAATGTGCCGACGAGGACGTCGGGCCTCTAAGGGGGGTGGATTGTGACATCCCACATAGCCCAGGGGACTGATCCTTATATGTATATTCCATCCCTACCTAGCACGAGGCCTTTTGGGAGCTCACTGGCTTCGGGTTCCGTAGGAACTCCGAAGTTAAGCGAGTAGAGGGCTAGAGCACTCCCAGGATGGGTGACCCACTGGGAAGTTGCTCGTGAGTTCCCAAAAACAAAACCGTGAGGGAATGGTAAGCCCAAAGCGGACAATATCGTGCTACGGTGGTGGAGCGGGCTCGGAAAGTGATCCGCCCCGGGTCGGGATGTGACATAATGCTTTCATAGAAAATTTAATTTCCCCAACATGTTTGTATTCCAACAAAACTAAATTGTAGGGTTTAAACATTTACTACGCATCAAACACGTCCTAAATATTTTGTTTAATTCCACATCAAAGCAATTGCGACATTAATTTTGTGTTGCAAAGCCATCACAAAATAACTTTGCGATGCTAACAATGTGTCGCAATAAGAAGGGAAAACTTTTACGACACAAGTTTGTTGCGATGCAAACACAAGCGTCGCATGGCCATCGGTAAAATGCAATTGTGACATTTTCATGGTTTTACATGACGAGATTTTAGCATTGCATTTAACGAGTTTTTTCGTAGTGCCATTAAGATTGATTGTTTGGTCTTTAATTAAGTTGATGACTCATGAGCATGAGATCTTTATATAGGCTAACGTATAAGCCACATTAGTACCACTTTGTAAAAAAAGGTTTGAATCTCGTGAATGCCGAATTTGATACCAAATTAGGTTGCTCATTGTGTGGCTTAGTCAAATACCCCCTCTCCCCTTAGTGTAAAATATATCGTTGTACTAAAAAAATGGAAGATTAGATATTCAAAGAGACAGAAGGTATAAATTAATACAATTTCAAAACTTAAAAGGTGTAATGTAACAAAATTTGAAAATCATGGTCCATTTTGAAAATCACCTCAAACGAGAAGGGTGTAAAATGTAGTTAGACTATTGTAAAATCAAACGAAAGGAGGAGTAATATTAAAAAAGTGGTGTAGACAGAGGGAAAGAAAATCTAAAGAAACCTAGCCATGAAAGGTCTATTTAAAGACAAAGTACCTAAGACCGTCTTCAAAGGAGATGTCAAATTTTAAACAAAAAATTTTAATTTGACAGCTTATGTGGCATTTTAACATATTTTAAAATTTTACTCTCCACCCGATATGTCAAATTAAATTATTATTTTACTTTCCATAATTTCTGTTTTGACACTATCTAGATCCATATTCCACCACTTCTTCGTTGACCTCCCCCATCACATGGTCCCTTCTTGCAATGAATTGCACCATCCTCCTCAAATCCACCAACTCCCTCTCCATCAAGAAAAGCCTCTCCTTTAATGTCAGATTCTCTTCCTCCAATTGAACAATATGGGTATCCTGATCATCCACCCTATTATCCAAAGCATTGTTACAAGAAACCCCACTGTAGTTTGGGTACACCATGTCGAACCGACTCAAATCATGATCCAACCTCCTTTCCACCTCCACATGGTCCTCCACGTCCCTCTCACTTGATCAGCCACCACCTTCCTCATCATCATTTCCAGGTGAAGGAAGACAAATCAACTCTTTCATTGATCCATACCCATCAATACCCACTCTGCTTTCGCCATATCTTGTAAGATCTCCCTTAAAGGTGAAACATGGGCATAGGCAGAATAGTCGGAGCCATCACACAAGGTGAACCCAACAAGGCTAAGATTCAACGGCGGTTGCTTTTTGGAGGCGAATTAAGGCATCAACTGAGGCCAAGCCTTGTAGTTCCGATTCATCATCATCAGTTAAGACTGACTCTTCATCATCATCAACAAGTAATAAATGTTTTAAAACAATAAAATATTAGTAAAAAGCATTTAATAATAAATTAAAATGTATTTGAAGCTGCTGTCAAATTTGACAGCAAGCCCTTTTGTTACCATTCCATGTCATGCCTCATAAGATTTGGCATTTCAGTTGGAAACATTAGTGGCTATCTTTTTTTACTGTTATAGCTTATGTGGACAATTTGACATCTCCTTAGGAGATGCTCTAAGGATCTTGCCGTCGAATATGAAACATTATTTACCTTAAGATTTGTGCATATATAAAGATCGATATCACCCAAAGATATGAATAGCCTCCTCTGGTGGAATATGCCCACACAACACTCATTGTCATTCCAAACTTTATGGCATGACACTCGAGACCACATGTTTGAATCCAAAACGTCAACACTATGCCCCAAGGAATTGGATTATCACACAAAGAAAGAAGACTAAACGATACGTATTCCAACTTACTGCGAAATGCATGGTCTTTGGTTAACTATCTATCCTCAAGGGGAAGAGGTTGCCTTTCAGATAAACATTTAGGGATAATTGTGAACCATTATTTTTTAGGGTCGGAGTAAGGCTGATCGGAATACAATTACCTAGGGGTCGAAAAAATTCCCGAAAATCCCAAACCGAA